AGTCAGATACTGGAGTGTACTGGTGTGAGTCTGGATCAGGAGAGTTCAGCAGTGCAGTCAACATCACTGTACAGAGTATGTTATTATACATTTACTTCTTGGATCTGAAGGATTTAGATGTCACATGAACATTTGTCTCAGCTTTGCTCTATGTGAAGTAATTTTATGTGGCAAAACAAACAAAAATTAGAATTTCAGATGATTTTAGGCTCCAAAGCTTCAAACAATATTCTTGGTTTTTGTTCTCTAATTAAATTAGTATTTTATATTTTCTCTATCAGAATAAAACTCTAAAAAGCTCAACATCTTCATCACATTAGATAAACTTTTATTGTGTCCATTCAGAGTAACTTAGGGAAACACATCATGTAAAATAAAACAAACATACAAACACTCACCCACAATTTCACCCATAATGATTCAGCAATTGTATTGATAATAATTTGACTCCTGCAGGGAAGACTAAACACTGAAATGTTGTCACTTGTTCAAACTTCTCTCCAGACATTGAAACCAGGCTCAGATCGCCAATAGATCTTTCATCAAAGATCGTTATAAATATGACCATTATTTTTCTTTATATTTAACATGAAGGTGTGTTTCTTATACCACTGCACAATCCCTTCTGATTTCCACAATTTTTAAAATAAAATATGAAAAGAATAGGAGATCTCACACAGCCCTGTGAGACTCTTGTTCTTATAAACTGTATGTGTGAACGAGTAGAACTGACTTTCACTTCCTGTGTTTTTTTAATGAAAATAGCCAAACAACCATCTGATTATATAGGGATCCACTTTCATGTTATTTAACAGTGTATAAGTGTTTGTGGTATTAGACGCTGATCTTAGATCATAAATAACAATCGTGCATAAGCTGAGGGGTTTTCTAAATGCTTTAAAATCAAGTGAGTTAAAGTAATTATATTCAAATTGTACTTCACTTCACAAGTGCTCAACCATAATGCATTCAAATGATTTCATTACTATTGATGTTACTGCTGCAGGTCTGTGATCATTATTTTGCTGATTGCAGCCTTTTTCTATATAGTGAGGATGAAGCTGATATCAAAAGGACTCCAAGCTGGAGTCAGCTCATCAGCAAATGTTTAAAGAGAAAAGCTGAAACAGCATCAGGCCCACAGGCCTTCTTGGTGTTTAAGTTTTTAAATCCAGTTATTTTTATTTTATTCTATTCACAACCCTTAGATCAGTTACTAAGTGAGTCTCTGTTAGATCACATTATGAGCTTATAAAATCCGACAATCAGCCGTTCAACTTCATTTACTACGTGCATTTCTTTCTTACCTGGATTCAAGTCGATCATCTGTTTCACAAAGTCGCTTCTATGAAAATCTCCCTGAAGCTTACATGTCAGCGTTTCCTAAAAGTGTGCACCAGATGATGTGACTGAAACAATTGTGTGATTGTTTCACAGATGATGGTAATGGTCCTATCCTGGTGAGTCCTGTTCATCCTGTGACTGAGGGAGCTTCTGTTAGTCTGAGCTGCAGTTTGAGAACACAAAAAATACTTTCCAATGTGTTTTTCTATCACAATGACAAACTTATTCAAAATGATACCCGAGGGGAGCTGAACATCTCTGCAGTGTCAAAGTCTGATGAAGGTTTCTACAAGTGTCAGTACTCAGGAAGAGAGTCAGCACAGAGCTGGATGTCAGTTAAAGGTGAGCAGGATCAAAACAATTTCATGTGTTTTTGTAAAAATGATTTTCATGCTTGAGAAGAAACATTAGATTGTCTGTTTAAGGCTTGAAGTCACCTGGATCTATTTTGTGAGAACTGAAATATGCAGTATAATAATAAGTATTATACTTTATTATTACTTAATTGTTATTAGTCATTTCAGCAGCTGTGTCAGGAGCTGACAGCTCTTCATCTCCTGTGTGGTTGATTGTTGGACTGGTTTGTGGAGTCTCTCTCATTATTATTCTCCTGCTCTTGTTGTATCGCTGTAGACAGTCCAAGTGTAAGAGCCTCTTCAAATTCAAATTCAAATTCAAATTTTTATTTGTCACATACACAGTCATACACAGTACGATATGCAGTGAAATGCTTGGACAACTGCTCGTGACCTAAAGAAAAAAGAAAAGGCTATGAATAAGATAGGAAATAAATAAATATGAAAATAAAAAAAGGGTAAATTTAACCAGGAAG